GTGCCCGCTCGGTGCACCCACCGGCCTCCATGTCACCCTGCAGGCTGCCACCCCCCCAGCGCGGCCACGGCCCCCCAAACCGCAGCTGGTAAGGACACCCCTGGGGATGATGCGGGTGGGGGGGACCCCAAAAAATCCTCTGCTCCCCGATCCCACCCATGGCGTCCTCTTCCTGCTGCAGCGCTGCGGGACAATTTCCGCCTGCAGCCGGGTGATTTGGTGGCCACGGCGGGGCAAGCGTTGGAGCTGGATTGTGTGCCACCCTCGGGGCACCCCGAACCCCACGTCACCTGGAAGAAGGATGGGGTGACCTTGGACTTGACCGGTGACCGGTACGTGGTCACCAACGAGAAGTTGCGGGTGGCACCGGCGCGACGGAGCGACTCTGGGCTCTACGTCTGCGTGGCGGCCAATGCGGCAGGCGAGAGGGAGAGCCGGGGCGCCCGCGTCTCCGTCCTGGGTAAGCCGAGGGTCTCCCAGGGGTGGTGGACACGTCATGCCCAGCCTTGGTGCCACATCCTCGATGTCCCCCTGCAGAGAAGCCGACTATAGTGCGGCGCCCGAGCGATGCCGTGGTGGTGGCCGGCAGCACCGTGGAGCTGAGCTGCGGCGCCCAAGGTGACCCAGCGCCGCGGGTGCAGTGGCACAAGGAGCGTGGGGACCTGCCCTGGGGCAGGTAGGTGGTGGCAGGGTGGTGATGTCCCATCCCCAGGGTGGGGCAGTGGTGGGGCTGATGGAGAGCTGGTGATCCGCAGGCACGAGGTGGACCGGGAGCACACGTTGCGCCTCTACACCGTGATGCCTGCCGACGCCGGCACCTACGTCTGTACGGCACAGAGCCAGCTGGGCACCGCCGCTGCCCCCGCCCGCCTCCACGTGGAGGGTCAGTGGTGGGACCTCCATGGGCATCCAGGGCCATCTGGGGGTCCACGCAAGGGGAGCCATCTAACAGGGTCCATCTAATGGGGTTCATCCAAGGGGAGTCTAGTTCAAGGGGAGTCCATCCAAGGAGGTCTATCCATGGGCGTCCATCAACTGAGTCATCTAAGGGGGTCCATTCAAGGAGGGTCCATCAAAGGGGGTACTTCCAAAGTGGGGTCCACCTCAGGAGGTCCATCTAAAGACATCCATCCAACAGCGTCCATCCAAGGGATCCATCCAAGCATGTCCGTGTAAGGGGACCCATCTAAGGGGATGCATCCCTGGGGGGCTCCATCCAAGAGGATCCATTCAAGAGAGTCCATCTAAAGGGGATCCATCCAAGCAGGTTCCTCCAAGGAAGGGGTCTGTCCAAGGTGGGGCCTCCATTAAAGGGGGAGCCAACAAGAGGTATCCATCAGAGTCCATCAAAGGACGTCTATCCAAGACAGGTCGATCAAAGGGGGTCTGTCCAAGGGCTCCGTCCATCCAAGAGGGGTCCATCCAAGGGATCCACTTGAGTATGATCTTCCAAAGAGACATCGGGGTCTCCAGGCATGGGTATCTGGGGTGGGTGCCTGGGCAGGTGCTGGAGGACCTTGGTCCTGCCTGGTGCTGCTGCAAGCCTCCCTCTGCCCCACAGACGGGCTGCCGACGGGCCGGCAGGAGGCTGCACCGCGGGACTTGCTGGCCATGAGGCTGCACCTGGACAACGGCACTGCGCTGCCCACCGCTGCCGTCCAGCTCCGCTGGCGGGTTGGTGTGGTGCTGGGATGTCCCCACCTGAGGGGTGGGATGGGACATGGGGATGAGGCGGGAGCTCCATCCCCATGGCCCATCTGCGTCCCACCATGCCTCGTAACCCTTCCCATCCCTTCCAGATGCTGACGCCGGCGCTGGCGCCGCAGGGCTACGTGGTGCTGTACCGCTGCCTGCTCCCTGCCAGCACCCCCTGGGTCCAACACGATGCAGGCAGGGAGCTCAGCGCCGTCATCCCTGCGCTCCGCAGGGGCTACAAGTACGAGTTCAAGGTCCGCCCCTACGCAGGAGGGACCCAGGGTTTGGACAGCAACATCAGGCACCTCTGGATACCCGAGGAAGGTGTGCTGGGCGTGAGGTGCCTGGGTGAGGGATGGGGGGGTCGGCTGGGGGCTCCAGGGGGTCTCAGCACCCCTGTCCCGGCAGTACCAAGCGCGGCGCCCCAGCACGTCACCGTAGGCCAGGCTGAGATGGGGAACGGCACCGTGGTCGTGAGCTGGGAGCCACCTCCTCCTGAGGCCCACAATGGCATCATTCAGGGCTACAAGGTTTGGCGTGATGGGGTGGGGGAAGGCTGGGGGGGGTTCTGGCCAAGGAGGGTCCATCCAAGGGGTCTGTCTAAGGGGGATCCATCTGAGGAGGGAGCCTTTCAAAGGTGGGGGTCTATCCAAGGGGGGGCCATCCACACAGTACATCCAAAGGATTGCATTAAAGGGTCCATCCAAGAGGGGTCTCAAAAAGGGGGGTCATCCAAGGGACCCAAGCAGGGTGGAGGTCCATCCTAGGAGACCCATCTACGTGGGGAATCCATCCAAGGGGTCAATCTAAGGAAGGGGGTCATCCAAGTGGATCTAACCCAAGGGGGTCCATCCAGGGGTGTTCAACCTACGGGATTCATCTAAGGGGGTCATCCAAGGGGTCTGTCCAAGAAGGATGCATCAGTGGGGGTCCATCAAGGGGGCTCATCTAAGGGAGCTCATCCAAGGGGCCTTCATCCAAGGGGTGTTCATCCAAGGAGGTCCATGCAAAGGTGTCCATCCAAGGGGCATCCATCAATGGGGGCCCATCAGGGGGCTTCATCTAAGGGGGCCCATCCTCTTGGTGTGTACCAGGTCTGGTCAATGGGTGAGGACTGGCAGCGCCTGACCAACAGGACAGTGGACGGAGGCACCCACCACCTGGAAACCCTCCTCCCGAGCCCTGGGGCCGAATTCTGTGTCCAGGTGGCAGCTTTCAACAGCGCAGGGCTGGGGGTCCCCAGCAATGCCACCTGCGGTGTCCTGGGTAGGGGACGGGAGCAGGGTTGGGCGCGGGGGGGTCAAGGTGGTGGCACAGGGGTGAAGCTGGTGGGACCCTTGCAGGGCTGACGGCGGGGAGCAACAGGGTGGTGCAGGCGCTGCGGCAGCCGGCTGTCATCGCGGCCGCCGGCTCGCTGCTCTGGTTGGCCTTGCTCGCCCTCCTCCTCCTCCTCTGCCAGCGCCGCGCCAGCCAGGAAGCCGCGGCTCGCCACCGGTGAGGGGCCGTGGGGGGGGGGGAGAGGGG